TCCTTTACAATGGTGTATTGTTTTCCATTTTGGGAGCCATGATGAAAAATGTTCTCTCTCACTGTTATACATGTACGTAAGTACATATTTCCGTTGGCTGTGAACCTCAGAGTTGCTGGCTGTGCATATGTTCAATTTTATGCCAAACACTTTTAAGAGATACTGCCACATACACTTCCCTAAACTTCCCAATGTAAATGCATATGAGTTTTCATTACTCCACATTCTCACCATCACTTGATTTTTTCAGTGGTTTTAATATTAACTATTCTGATGGGTCTAGAGTGACATCTCATTATAATTTTCTTTTCCATTTCCCTGATGACTAGTAAGACTGAGCACCTTTTCATATACTTTTTGGCCTCTTTTATAAAGAGCCTGTTCAAACTGGGCTTGGTGGCTCAACATGTAATCCCGCGCCTTTGGGAGGTTGAAGTGAGTGGATTGCCTGAGCTCACGGGTTCAAGATCCGCCTGGGCAACTTGGTGAGACCTCATCTCTACAATAAATAAAAAAAAATTAGCCAGGCGTGATAGCACGTGCCTGTAGTTCTAGCTACTTGGAAGGCTGAGGCGGAAGGATCTCCAGAGGCCGGCAGGTCGAGGCTGCAGTGGCCAGGAGTGGCCACTGCACTCCAGTCTGGGTGACAGAGTGAGATTCCAACTCAAAAAACAAAACAAAACAAAAAACAATAACAAAAAAAAAACCCATTTCATTCCAGATACAATATAACCCTTTGTTGATTAAATGTTTAGCAATCTTTTTCCACTCGGTGACTGACTTTATTACTCTCTCAGTGGCACCTCTGGATAAATTGAAATTCCCTATTTTAGTGAAGTCCAATTTATCAATATTTTCCTTTATGGTTAGTACTTTTAAGTCTTATTTATTTTTTGGTTTTTTTTTTTGAGTTGGAGTCTCACTCTGTCTCCCAGGCTGGAGTGCAGTGGCACATCATGGCCATCGCAGCCTCAACCTGCTATATTCAGGCAATCCTTCCGCCTCAACCTTCCAAGCAGCTGGAACTACAGGTGCATGTTACCATGCCCGGCTGATTTTTTGATTTACTGTAGAGATGAGTTCTCTCCAAATTGCCCAGGTTGGTCTTGAACCCCTGGTCTCAGGCAATCCTCTCGCCTCGGCCTCCCAAAGTGCTAGAATTACAGGCTTGAGCCACTGTGCTTGGCCTATTTTTAAGTGTTATTTAACAAATATTTGCTGGCTGGGCTCAGTGGCTCAGCCTGTAATCCCTGCACTTTGGGAGGCCCAGGTGAGTGGATTGTCTGAGCCCGCGGGTTCGAGACCCACCTGGGCAACTTGGCGAGACTTCATCTCTACAATAAATCAAAAATTAGCCGGGCATGGTAGCCGGGCGTGGTAGTGCCAGCTACTTGGAAGGCTGAGGTAGAAGGATAACCGGAGCCCAGCAGATCAAGGCTGTGGTGGCCGGGAGCGGCCACTGCACTCCCGTCTGAGTGACAGAGTGATACTCCAACTCAAAAAAAAAAAAAAAAAAGAAAGAAATATTTGCTTACTCCAAGACACAAAGATATTTTCCAGTGTTGTCTTCTAGAAGATTTCTAGGGTTTTTTGCTTGTTTCTTTGGTTGCTTGCTTGCTTATTTTGAGTTGAGGTCTTACTCTACCACTCAAGCTGGAATGCAGTGGCATGATCACAGCTTACCAAAGTCTCGACCTTCTGGGCTTAGGCGATTCTTCCACCTCAGCCTCCCTAGTTGCTGGAACTACAGAAGTATACCACCATGCCCAGCTACTTTTCTGATTTTTTTTGTAGAGACAAGAGTCTCGCTATGCTGTCCAGGCTGGTCTCAAATTCCTGAACTCTAGTAATCCTCTCACCTTGCTTGGCCTCTCAAAGTTCTGGGAATATAGACATGAGCCACTGCACCTGGCCTTCTAGTTTTATTGTTCCTATTTATTTATTTATTGAGACTGAGTCTCATTCTGTCATGCAGGCTGGAGTTCAGTGGCAGATCACGGTTACTGCAGCCTCAACCTGCTATGCTCAGGCAATCCTTCTGCCTCAGTCTTCCAAGTAGCTGGGACTAGAGGCATGCGCCACCACACCTGGTTAATTATTATTATTATTATTGTTGTTGTTGCTGCTGTTATTGTTATTATTCTTATTATTTTATTTATCGTAGGGATAAGGTCTCACCATGTTGCCCGGGCTGGTCTTGAACTCCTGAGCTAAGGCAATCCTCTCGCTTCAGCCTCCCAAAGTGCTGGAATTACAGGTGTGAGCCACCACACCCAGAAAGATTGTGTACTTAACTGGCAAAGGATTAATATCATACAGAGCAAGTTCTCTGACAACAATGTACTTAAATTAAAAAGCAATGATAAAATTATTGAATTTTTCCATTATATGTTGGAAAATGAAGAAACATACCTCTAATTCATGATTTTTCTCTAAGAGAACTGGTTGGAAAAACTTAGAAAGTTGGCAAGTATTGGTTGTTTCTTGTTTTGTTTTATTTTTAGCAAACTACTTCAATAAAGAGATAAGCTCAGGCTAGCATTGACCTATTTGCAAGCACAGATAGAAAGAAATAGAACTCTGCTGAAAAAGCCTTCTTACCTGTGGTCTACAAAGCAAAAATGACTAAGAGTCCAGACTGGAAAAGCCAACTGCTTTTATAACCTGAACAGTGAGAAACAAAGACCATTTCTCATAGCTTTCCTTAAAGGTCTACCATGAAGATTTCTTGGCCAGACAATGGGACGCATCCTGTGACAAAAATCAGATAAAGGAATTCACCTTCCCTCCCAAGGTGATTGGTTTCTTTGGATCTTCTTGGACTATTTGCAGAAAATTCATGTTAAAGAATGTGGTCTCTTCAACCCAAACAAGATAAGATTTATCCAACTGACCCTGAATGCCTCTGACAGATATTACCTCCTCAAAGTCAAAATGAGTAAGACTGTGGTGCTACTTCTGAGAGATTTTTCTCATAAGGAGCTAAATATACTCACTCCATCCCAAATATGAGAAAAGAAGAATTTGGCTGGAGATCAAATCACACCATTTACTGACAATGAATGTTGTATGTATTTTCAAAAGGGCTACACCCCAAAGTTGATTGTCATTCTCTATTAGAATAAGAAGGGTAGGATGAGTTTAGTTTTCTTCTGTGAAAGAAACCCATGCAAGACTTAGCAAAATGGAGGTTGTATGTGAAGATGTTAGTGCAGGAAAGAACTGAGAAACTATGGTTTTCCTGATATTCGCACGTGTTCTCTGGCAGTATAATGGGGTATTGTGTTGGATTTGGTCCATGTCCTAACAGTGCAACTTTTCAATAATCTGTCCCTTGTCCAGCTGATGTCCCGGGCATATATACAGTTACATTTATTATACCAAAAAATTTTTACTTATTGTATCAAGAACCATAAATCTGAATGCCCTACTCTCTATCCAGTGCTGAGAATAGAATTGTTGACCCTTCAATAAACATGGATAAAATTGGGATATACTAGAATGTCAGTACTAGATCATAGTTATCTTAACTACACTAGAAAGGCAATATTACTAGAGAAGTTCAGATCTACAAGCATATTACTTATGCCATTCTTTTGTAGCTAGGCCTGATGTATAGAACAAGTTCTTTGGTCTGCCCAACTTTTTTTATGGTGGCATGCCTCTTTTGTTCCTTAATCACCCTAATCAGTCCATGTCAATCGGATAGGGATGAAGCTCTTTCTCACCCCTGACATGCATATATGACCAGCCCTGGCCAGTTAGTATTACACCCTGGATATATTGGCTCATGGATGGAAATGTGACCTGAGACACAGACAGATCAGAGTCATCCCTGGCAATTTTGCTGGGTTACTGAGAATACTTCTCTCTCTTCTCATCCATAGTGAACTATAACAACTATGTAAGTCTGGAGCTGCTGGGGATGATCTTTCCTACTACATGGAGAGAGCTTGCCAGAGAATGAAGTTAACTCAGCGGAAATCAAAGACAAGATATGGGAGAGGGGGATAAGAGAAAGAAAAGGGCACACACACCGATAATAATATTGGTGACAACATTTGAGCCTCTGGGTCTAACAGTGTCAGGCCCTTCCCTGGATGGCCAAGATACATGAACCAATGAAGAACTTTGAGTTGGTTTCGTTTACATTCATTATGTCTGTTTTACTTGGAAGACTTTCCCAAGCAAATTGCAAAGATCATGTCACAGTGCACCAGAGACTCAGAAGGGAGAGAGGGGAAGGGGTGGAGGGAAGAAAAATCACCAATAGGGTACAATGTGCACAGATGGGGGTGATAGGTACTCGTAAAGCCCAGACCAAAAACTATTTGTACCCCCAAAGTAATTGAAATTGTTTAAAAAATCATGTCACACTGTTGAACCTAAACTCTATTTCCATCACAGATGAGTGATAGGAGTGGGCATGGACTGGGACAGAGGGCTTGTGGGTGAAACATGAAGTTCTTTTTCTTTTTCTTTTTTTTTTTTTGAGTCAGAGTCTCACTCTGTCGCCTAGGCTGGAGTGCAGTGGCCCCCTCACAGCCACCCCAGCACCCCAGCATCAACCTGCTGGGCTCAGGCAATCCTTCCGCCTCAGCCTTCCAAGTAGCTGGAATTATAGGCTTGAGCCACCACGCCCGGCCAACATGAAGTTCTAAACAGCTTAATTCCAGCAGTGTGGGAGACAAGGTATGAAAACCAGCACAGATCAGCATCAAATACAATAACATTAATCTTTATGTTTACCTAACTTTATGTGTGCCTTTATTAGTTCTTACCACACAATCCATTTTCCAAAATATAAAAACTTCAACCCATTGTCATTGCCTTCAGAATGGGTACAGAAGAATCATCCCACCTGTCTTCTAATCATAGTTAAAAATTATTCTAGGAGTTTCTGGAACATGACACATGTAAAGAGACAGAGAGCAAGAGAGATAGTGAAACATTCAAACTTTGCCAGAACAAAGGGGAAGGCTCACAACTCATGGAACAATCAAGTCTTTCCTTTATATTGAGACTACATTGTTATGCTGTGATCCCTGGACAACCTGACCCTCCAGGAGTTCCCAGTTCAGGACTCTGCATGGTACAGAACCAGTCCCAGCAGCCCCCTGGATCCCAGTCTAAGACACTGGTTTAATGTAGCCATAATCTATACACTTGATGAGACATTCCCGGGCTGTCTGGACCACTTCCGTGTTCTTCTCGTTTGGTTCCTGCTTGCCCACCACAGTCAGGATCTCCAGCATCTCACTCTCCACCAGTTTCTTGGCCAGCTCAGCATCAGCTGCCAGCAGGTTGTAGGCAATGACCAGACCCCGGTGTTGGACAGACAGCCGGTCGTGCAGGCAAAGTCGTTGTAGGATCTCCAACCATTGGGATGTCTGGAGAGGGGGAAAGGGTAAGGAAGGTACTAGATTTGAGTGTGTCCTCAGAATTCATGGTGGAAATTTGGTCCCCAGTGTGACAGTGGTGGGAGGTAGGGTCTTTAAGAGGCAATTCGATCATTAAGAGGAATTAATGCTGCTCTCACAAGATTGGGTTAATTCTTGCAGCAGTGGGTGAATTCTTGCTCTCAAGGGACTAGATCAGCTACAAGAGCTCTTCATGGCCCTATGTGCTGCCTCTGGTGTTTTGCCCTTTTCACACATACCTACTTCCTTTCCCACTTCTCCACTGTGTTATGACATGGCTTGAGACCCGCACCAGAAGCTGACCAGATGTGGTCACCCAGTCTTGGACTTCTCGGCCTCCTGAACCATGAGCCAAAGTAAACCTCTTTTCTTTATAAATTACCTAGTCTCAGGTATCAGAACAGAAATGAACCACTACAGAAGGATTAAAGGAATAGCTGTAACTTAGCTATGGTCATACACCTGGAAAATGGTAGAGGGCTAATATCCCCCATCCATTTATTTCTCAAGCAGACTGAGAATCAAAGGGCAAGGCCCACTGCATTCCTGAGCAGAACAGGGATGCAGTGCTCAAAGGGAAGATTCTCACCCTGGGCACATGGGAAATGCCTGCCTCTGCCACCCAGGTACTCTTTTAGACATGCAAACATGCTCTTCATCAGCCCTGGCTTTGACTGGAATCAACGCAAGAGACTGGGGTGTGTCTTCCCCTCCATTCCTCCTCCCTTTCCAGTCGTGAGGCAGCCCAACTACTAAGCATGAGGAGGCCACTTTGCATGACCCCAGGAGACAGGGATGAAGCTAAGAATAAAACTGGAAGACTAGGTGGGGTAAGGTAGCTCAAGCCTATAATCCCAGCACTTTGGGAGGCCAAGGCAAGAGGATTGCCTGAGCCCAGGGTTTCAAGACCAGCTTGAGCAACTTGACGAGACCTTGTCTCTACAATAAATAAATTTAAAAATTAGCCAGATATGGTAGCGCATGCCTGTAGTTTCAGCAACTTGGAAGGATCTCCTGAGCACAGCAGATCAAAGCTGCGGTGGCCGTGAGTGTGTCACTGCACTCCAGCCTGGGCAACAGGCTCTGACTCAAAAAAAAAAAAAAATCTGGAAGGCAGCGGGCTCAGTGGCTCAGCCTGTAATGCCGCGCTTTGGGAGACTGAGGTGAGAGGATTGCCTGAGCCCGCGGGTTCATGACCCACGCGGGCAACTTGGTGAGACCTCATCTCTACAGTAAATCAAAAAACTAGCTGGGCTTGGTAGCGCGCACCTGTACTTCCAGTTACTTGGAAGGCTGAGGTGGAAGGATCGCTGGAGCCCAGCAGGTCGAGGCTGTGGTGACCGGGAGCGGCCAGTGCACGCCAGTCTGGGCAACAGAGTGAGACTCCAACTCAAAAAAAAAAACAAAAACCTGGGAGGCTTGACTCCTGTATCATTCAATAGACACACACAGGCAGCCGAGTAGAATCATCATCAGCATGGGTTCTGGTGTCAGAGAGATGACTGTTCAGGTCCCAGCTCAGCCATTTACGAACTGTATAACCTGAGCTCAGTTATTTAATCTCCTCAAACCTCAGGAGACTCATCTATCAGCCACTATGCCTACCTCTAATGTTGTGATGATTTAATAAGATGATACTTGGAGAACTGAAGTGTAGTAAGTACTCAATAAGTGGAAATGGACAGGGTTGATGATTTAAGATACCAACCCAAAGTTCTGCCCCCTCAGGCTTCCTCATTCCTGTTATCCTCACTTGGCATTTGTCGAAGGGATCACTTTCTTTTTTTTTTTTTTGAGTTGGAGTCTCACTCTGTCGCCCAGACTGGAGTGCAGTGGCCGCTCCCAGCCACCGTAGCCTCGGCCTGCTGGGCTCCGGCGATCCTTCCACCTCAGCCTTCCAAGTAGCCGGAATTACAGGCATGCGCCACCACACCCAGCTGATTTTTTTATTTATTGTAGAGATGAGGTCTCGCTGCCCAGGCGGGTCTCGAACCCACGGGCTCAGGCAATTCACTCACCTCAGTCTCCCAAAGGCGAGGGATTACAGGCTGAGCCACCGAGCCCGGCGGGATCACTTTCTACATATACTGCTTTCAGATGAGAGACAGACACAGAGGAGGAGAAAAGGCAACTTCTTGGCTTCTGGGCATCTAAGTGAACTTTTATAAACTCTGAACTGAGTCTTCTACCCCAAGGAAAGAAAATGAAAGCTCAGCTAGCTGTGGTAGGGCTCAGGGAAAGGTTCTGTGCCAATGGGTAACTGATAATGGCTCCAAGGCCCATTACCCTCTAGAATGAATCATTGCGGGTCAAAGGAAAGGGTGATAGAAACCCAATAGGGATAGAATCCCAGGGTAAGAACTGTTGTCTTGTTTCCCCAGGCATATCCCAGCCGACATGAGACTGTAGAGATGTCCAGCATCCAATGTGGCCACAAGGCCATACAAAAGATGGGTCTGGGCAGCTTCACATAATCCCCAGGATATCTTTGCAGGACAAAAATGCAGCCAAGAGTTCTCTGTGTGGCCTTAGGCTAATTATTTTCTGCACCTCCATTGACTCATCTATAAACTAGGGATAATAATAATAATATCCACCTTATAGGGTCATTGGGAGAACTAAATGACAAAACATATATAAACACTTAGGGCAATGCCTGGCTTACTGTCAGCGGAAGGAGCCACAGATGTCCTGCGAGAACCTGTCAACAGGGGTTATATGACCAGTTACTCCAGCAGAGGCGACTCTAGGGCAGTAGTTTCAAAGTGTGGTCCCCAAGTCAGAAGTGCTACACCTCCAGTCTACTGAATCAGAATATCTGGGGAGAATGTTTTAACAAGCTCTTCAGGTGATTCTCATATACGTTACAGTTTTGAGAAGCTTGCCTTAGGAAAGGGGTCAAAGACCAGAGACCACACAGGACGAGCTACATCCAGCAAAGACACCCTCACCTTGTGCCAGGACAGTGTAAGCCCCCTTTGAACTTAGAGAACACACCCATCTGTTCACACACCCCTTCAACTGACTATCTAAAAGAGCCTGACTGTATGTTTGTTTTGTTTTGAGACAGGGTCTCGCTCTGGAGTGCAATGGTGTGATCATAGCTTGTTTGGCTCAAGCAATCCTCCCACCTCAGCCCACTGAGTATTGTATCTAAGACTACAGGTGCACGCCACCACACCCAACTAATTTTTTAAGTTTTTTTGTAGAGATAGGGGTCTCATTATGTTGCTCAGGCTGATCTCAAACTCCTAGGCTCAAGGAACCCTCCTGCCCTGGCCTCCCAAAGTGCTTCAGTTATAGACATGAGCCACCATGCATAGCCTAAAAGAACCTGCCTTTAAACTGGAGGTGAGTACATTCAAATTTAGATGTTTACATGTTTCACCATCAAGGGAGATGAGTGCCCATCAACTAAGTTCAGTTTGGTGAAATGTGGAAAGTTTAATTTTGCACCTCCATGTTGGTGACTATGTGAATATCATTCTATCATTCCCATTGCACCAGCTGTGATGTCCACAGTCCCACCACAGGGACTGGTCATCATGTCCACTTAAGAGAATCTGTCTGCCAGGCATGATGGCTCACACCTGTAATCCCAGCACTTTGGGAGGCCAAGGCAAGAGGACTTCCTGAACCCAGGAGTTCAAGACTAACCTGGTCAACATGGCGAGACCTCATCTCTACAGTAAATTAAAAAATTAGCCGGTGTGGTAACGAACATCCCAGCTACTTGGAAAACTGAAGTGGAAGGCTTGCCTGAGCCCAGCAGGTTGAGGCTGCAGTGGCCATGATCACGCCACTGTACTCCAGCCTGGGCGACAGAGTAAGATTCCAACTAAAAAAAAAAAATAAAAAGATTAGAAAACTTGGGAGCCCCACGGCCATAGTTAACATTGCTGTGACTATTGGTAAGTAATGAGTTGTGTGCACCAACAAAAAGCAATGGAGAAACTACAGTGGAAGGGATTTCAGATAGAAATCTGGAAGGACCAAATAATGAACTAAGATGCTGAAGGGAACAGACCCTCCTCTCTGTAGGTGGTAGGAACAGATACCTGGGGGCTGGGAGGGGTGTGGTCTCAGGGTGGGGAGATTCCCCAGAGTCCCCCAGCCCTTCCTGTCCTCAGAACCCACTCTTACCACTTGAGTCATCTTGAGGCACAGTTTCTTGTGCGCTGCTGTCAGCATGGCCAGGGCCCCCGCAGCTGCATTCTGCACCTTGTCATCGTCTTCCCCACAGAGCAGCACCACCAGCTTCAGCCGGTCATTCCCATCAGCCAAGAACCTCTCTTGTACCTGTGGGAGGCGAGTACACAGCATAGGAAGTTCTCTGACCCAGGATCCCTCAGAGTGATCCCCTAAACAGCTCATTCATGTCACTTCCCCCAGGAAGGCTTCCTGTTGTTGGATGAAGGGGCTACAAATTCCTCCAGCTAAAGGGTAAAGAAAATAAGGGATTCCTCTTCTAGGGTGTTTCACCACCTCTGTTTGCATTCAGTTCTCCACACCAGGGGAAAGAGGCAGGCACAGACTCCCAAAGATGATACCTGAAGAACCGATGGGCTTTCAGGGTCTGCCATAAAATGACTTTGCAGGGACTTGGAAAGGAGCAGGGGACATTTAGGTAGTTTACTTGGTATTAAAATCTGCTGTGCCATCTCCACCAGATGAAGGATGAGACTTCCCAAGGACCTAAAAAATCAGAAGAGCCTCCCTGGGGCCAGGGCCCTGACATGTCTCAGAGAGATATTAACCCTCACAGCATCTCACTTTCACTCCTATAGGCTACTGGTAAAATCTGCTTGACCAAGTTTAAGGGCATTTTATTGGGTCAGGTTTCCTAGACGTGGAACTGTGACAAAGGTCACAGCTGCCCACGAGTAACCCTACACGTGCATATCTCTGAAGCTGGAGTAGTGGTCATCAGAAGTGAGAGTATGGCAGCATGGCCCCCTCTCATGGGGCACAGCCTGGCCTCACACTAGCCCTACATGAGGGCCAGAAGGACCACTTGGCCTGGCCTCATGTTCATGAAGAGTTGCTGGGAAGCAGTTGTCCCACCAAGGACTACAGTCCCCCTCCTCTCACACCTACATGGGGCAGTGGCCTAGTTCTCATGGATGGAACGTGAGTGGAAGTGATGTGTGTCACTCCCAGGTCACCACAGTTGGGTACTACAGGTGCCTGTCCCATGGTCTCTCTCCCCAATAATCAGAATGGAGACCACTCCCAGGGTAGCAGAGGAAGAGACAGTTTTTGATAATCAAAGAAGCCTAGATCCCTGAGTCGCTGTTTGGAAGGGAGCCACTCATCCAAATGGGACTATGATGTGGTGAGCAAGAAATGAATTTCTATCCTATTGGGAGTACTGTATTTTCATTGGGATTGTTGCAGCAGTTGGTGCCCCCACAGGGAAGATTGCCTCTCCCCTCTTATTGTCTCTCTCCATCCCCCATCCCCACCCCCACCCCATCTCAATGGACATACTTTCTCCCACACAGCTGCCAGACCTCCAGTTCAGCCTTAGGTCAGCTCCCTGGTAGACCCTGGTAGCTTTGTTTTCCTTGACTTTAACAATTTTAATGGGTCAGACTTTCCTCTTGTAACAGTGAGAAGATCCGAGGTTTAGGTATTGAGGGTAAACAGACTGGGTCTCACACTAGCCCCTACATGAGGGCCAGAAAGGCCTCTTGGCCTGGCACTCACATTCGCGAAGGGCCTCAAATGTAGACTATGTAGTTATTTCTAATAAGATTATACTCTGATGGGATGGTGAGAAGGTATTCAGCAGATGGTTATAATTTGTCCCATTACTGGACCATAAGGCCGATAGTATATTCTGAGTTCATTTTATTTTTATAAATTCTATAATTATTCTGCGAAGAGCACAGTTATATTACACTGAAGTTTCTTTGGAAACTGCGATGGTTCATTAAATGTTAAACATTTAAAATATTCATCTTTGTTTTTTTGGGTTTTAGTTGGAGGTCTCACTCTGTCACTCAAGCCAAAGTAGTGGCAGAATCACAGGTCACAGAATCACAGCCTCGATCCCCTGGGCTCAGACGATCCTCCCACCTCAGCCTTCCAAGCAGCTGGGATTATAGGTGTGCACCACCACACCTGGTTAATTTTTTTTTTTTTTTTTGTAGAGACAAGGTCTCACTATGTTGCCTAGATTGGTTTTGAACTCTTGGGCTCGAGCAATTCTCCCAAAGTGCTGAGATTATAGGCATGAGCCACCACACCTGGCCTAACATATTCTAAAATCAGTTTCTTTTTTTTCTTTTCTTTTTTTTTGAGTTGGAGTCTCACTCTGTCACCCAGACTGGAGTGCAATGGCCGCTCCCAGCCACCACAGCCTCGACCTGCTGGGCTCCGGCAATCCTTCCGCTTCAACCTTCCAAGTAGCTGGAACTACAGGTGTGTGCTACCATGCCTGGCTAATTTTGGATTTGTTGTAGAGATGAGGTCTTGTCAAGTTGCCCAGGCGGGTCTCGAACCCGCGGGCTCAGGCAATCCACTCACCTCGGCCTCCCAAAGTGCTGGGATTACAAACTGAGCCACCGAGCCCGGCCTAAAATCAGTTTCTAACTGTATTTTGGCATTTCTTCTTCTTTTCGTATATGTGAGCTTCAGTAAATGCAAATGGTCTAGCTTCTTTTGACCTCTAACAGACACTGGTCTCATATCCTGCTCTGTTATGAGGTTATTTAGGCCTAAGTATCTTTGGGAAATGGTATCTTTCACCTCATCTAGCCCATGCTTTGGAGTCAAAGCTCCAGCTTAGGATAAGATTACTTTGTGTTTTTTTCTTCATGTATATATTTCTCTCAGGGCCTTCACAGGGAGGGAGGGAGGCTGTAATCTGGGAAAGATCTGGGGATTCCTGGGTTCTCTGGTCAAAATACTACCTTAGTGCTATCATAATAGCCCCAATCTCACCCGTGGCCCTGACCTCTGACCTGACTTTCTGCACCTTGATCATGCCCCATCTCCATTCCAAGTCCCCACCCTCACCTCCTTGTTGACCACCATGTTGCACATGCACTCAGTGGCCGCCTGCCGCAGTTGGTCATGATTCTCAAACATGTAGTTCTCGATGTCTGGCAAAGCTCTCTCCTTAAATATCTTCTGCCTAGGGTGGGAGGGTGAAGGAAGAGAGGCTCTTGAGTTCTCTATAGTGAGCGTGTGGGTTTTCTGGACACCCAGGGGCCATTCCTCCATCCAGGTGGTATCCCTGCAGTGGTACGCTCATGGCCACCACAGCCTTGACCTGCTGGGCTCAGGGGATCCTTTCACCTCAGCCTCCCAAGTAGCTGGAACCACAGGCATGTGCCACCATGCTTGGCTAACTTTTTGATTTATTGTAGAGACAAAGTCTCGCCAAGTTTCCCAGACTGGTCTCGAACCCATGGGCTCAGGCAATCCTCTCACCTCGGCCTCCCAAAGTGCTGGGATTACAGGCATGAGCCACCACGCCCAGCCTTCCAACATGGTTTTCATGGCATTTGAACATCCCCCAGCTCCAGGATGGGCACCATGGACTTAAACTAAATGACATAGCATAGCATCCTGGCCATAGCAATGGGCTCTGGGATGAACATGTCACCCAACTAAGAATCTGTATTATTGTTGGGGAAGAGAAATTCTCTTTCTCTTTCCCCTGCTGTACATGAAGCCAAGAAGATGTGAAGTCCAGAGCTGCCCTTACAACCAAGAAAGAGCAGAAGAGCTCATCTGAGAACTAAGACAACACAGAAAGGGGAAGAGACACAGAGAGAACAAGGACCCAGGGTAGCTTCCTAAGCCCAGTATCCAAGCCACGCCTGAATCTGGTTGCCCCAGACTTTTAATTTACATGAGTCAACACTTAAGCCTATTAGAGTTGAGTTTTCTGCTACTTGCAACTCAATCCCACTCCAATACATTCCACCATACCCCTGCTTCCAAGAAGAAATGTACTTCATCCCCACCATCCACCTGGATATCTACTTACTACTTTAGAAAGAAATGTTTTATAGTGTCCTTTGGCTTCTAACATTCACAACATGCTTTTCCAAGCGCTAGCTCAAATCCCTCCCATTGCCTTTGTTTCCAGTCACTTCCAGGAGAGCAGTTTTAGCACATTAAGTATATGAAATTTCAACCAAACACTTCATGGGTCACCTTTCTTCACCCCATCCTCTCCACCTTGCCCCACTCACCGGAGTTTGTCACTCCGCCCAGACAGGTTGGTGAGGCCTAGGAGAGCCTCATAGTTCTGGATCCCATCTCTCTGTGTGTCCAGGAGACTCACAAGGGGCCGCACCACCTCATACACCTGTGGAAGGGGCTGGGGGTCAGGTGGGGAACTTGTTCCCCCAGAACCTCTCATTTATAGGTAGGTACCCAGCTTTAAAGTTTCCAAAGCAGGTCAGGTATGGTGGCTCAGACCTGTAATCCCAGTATTTTGGGAGGCTGAGGCAGGAGAATCACTTGAGCTCAGGAATTCAAAACCAGCCTGGGCGGCATAGCCAGACCTCATCTCCACAAAAAATACAAAAAGTAGCTGTGCATGGTAGTGCATGCTCGTAGTCCCAGCTGCTCGGGAGGCTGAGGCGAGAAGATCACCTGAGCCCAGGAGGTCATGGCTGCAGTGAGCCAGAATCATACCACTGCACTCCAGTCTGAATGATGGAGTGAGACCCTGTTTCCAAAAAAAAAGAAAATGCTTCCAAAGCACTTTCCCATGCATTGCCTGATTTGATCTCCACAATGATCCTGAGAGGCAGGATTATTTCTTTCACTTGGTAGCTGAGATGACTAGTTTTTAGGGGGACAGTCCTGTTTGTCAGAGACTCAACCAGGGTTAAGGTGACAAAGGGAAAGACTCCTAGGAGCAGTGAAAACTCCTCCCACTGTACACCCACCCAAACACCCACCCGCTCCCCGGGGAAAGCGATGTCTGGATTGGAGACAGCAGCGATCTTCGCTAGAGCATGGGCTGCCTTCACCTTGCCCACATCTGTGCCCTCCAGTGCCAGGGGAATCAGGGCCTGCAAGAAAGGGCGAGGTCACTACTCAGTCACAGACATCCAGAGGTCTCTCCCCATCCTCCCACTCCAGCTGCTGTCTCTCTGCCACACCCATAGATCCAGGAAGAATCAGATATAATAAGTCCTTGCTCATCATAGAAAACAATTAAGTACTTAATGATGGATTCACTCCCCGGTTCCCAACCCACATCAAGGTCTTTCCCCCACTTCTGTCCACCCATCCTTCAGTTGCTGGAAAAGTAAATGGTCCTCTTTAGCATGACACCTTCTAGGACGGTGAGGACCTTATCCTGCCCAATTACCTTGCCACCACCTTGAGCCACAATGGTGCCTCGGTCCTTTGGGTTGTCACACAGTGCCAGGAATACCCTGTAGGACCAAGGAGAAAGGAGAACATTTAATGCCCCATCACACCCTTTCCAGGAGTTGGCAGGCCAGCCAGTTTGAGCCAGTGAAACCCTGGGACGAATAGTAAAACTCTGGAAAGTGCAACTGTGTGCCTTGCCGCAGAATTAGTCAACTTGGGAAGATACTGCCACGGAGGAAGTGAGGACAAGTGAGGCTGCAAAAAGCCCCTCCATTCCTATTTAAGGAGACAACTGCCCAGGAGAAACTCTTCAACATAGAGGTACTCCAGGACCTCCCCTCTGGTCTCATCTAACGTGGCTCTCTCCCATGCACTCCCTGCCCCAGACATACTGCAAGAGAATCCCAGATTCACTCCTTCTCCCTTCATCCTCAATGTCTTTACAGATGCTATTCCTTCTGTCTGGAACCCTTCCCTCCCCTGCATTCAGGTGGCTGCTTCCCTTCCTTCAGGGCTCCTTTGAGTTGCCACATCCTCCAGGAGGCCTTCCCGGCTGCCCACCCACCTCCCATCCAGTCTGGCTGGTGGGGGCCACAACCTGTGCCCCAGCCAGCCCTCTGTGCTTTCAATTCGTGGCACTCCGGCATTGGTCTGTTGCTGTGATCTTGCCTGCCTCCCCCGTGAGGCTGCACAGATGCTGTGCCTTTAATTTCTGGGAACAGGTAACCAGAAGAGACAGTGCCTCCTTCCTCCTGACGCAAACTTCCACCTGTGACGAGCTGCCTACCTTGTTGTTTTTCCAAGCTGATCCCCCTAGACCTCCCCAGTAGCTTATCCCCTCATTTAGACCTCCATTCCTATCTCCCTGTCCAGGCTCCTGCTCTCCAGGTCTTTCAGCCTCCAGCCCTGGCCCACCGCAGCCACACCTGGCCAGCAACTCCTTGGTCTGGTCGGTGAGAATGGCACTGTCCGCTTTCACCATGCAGGCCAGCACAGAGATGACACCCGCCTTCAGAAGCCGCTTCACCCGCATGTCTATAAAGTCCTTCTTGTCCTGGGGAGATGAAAGGATGGCAATAGGGAAGGGGCCTGGGCCAATACAGGCCAATCTGTATTGCAGCTAAAGATGGTACATGTCTGAATCCTTGGGGTAGGTTCAGCAATGGTCCCCAGAGATATCCGTGGCCTAACCCTCAGGACCTGTGAATGTGCAACCTTGAAAAATACCATTGTCCTAAGTGAAGTAACTCAGGAATGGAAAACCAAACACTGCGTGTTTTCACTGACATGCAGGAGCTTAGCTATGGGTCTGTAAAAGCATATAAAGTGGCATAATGGACACTGCAGAAGAAGGGGCAAGCAAAGGAGGAGGTAAGGGATAAAACAGCACGTATTGGTTACTCATATGCAGACCCTGAACATCTGAACATTTACCATAATACTATAAGAAAGGGATTGGCAGTAGCTGGAAACTACTAGGAGGATGGGAGAGGACATAACATTAATAAGGGTACCTGATCTCAAACCAGGCAAAGTGAGAACCAAAGGGAGGCCCAAACTTTACCTGTACAATGACCACTAATCCTGAATTGTACCCCACGTCTTTAAGATAAAATACATTTTTTAAAAAATTACCTATTGAGGTGATGGGAACACTAAAAGCCCAGACTTCACCACTATACAATTAACCCATGTAATTAAAAACCACTTGTACTCCTAAAGCTACTGAAATCAAAATAAATAATTAAAAAAAAAAAAAGCAAAAGGGACTTAGCTAATGTGATTAAGTCAAGGATCTTGAGATGGAGAGATAATTCTGAATTATCTAGGTGGGCCCAATATAATCACAAGGGTCTTTATAAGAGGGAGGCAGGAAGTTCAGCATTAGTATTTAGGAGATGTGACCATAGAATTCAAGCAGGAGATTGGAGTGATTCAGGGCCATGAGCCAAGCAATGTAGAGGCCTCTAGAAGTGAAGAAGGCAAGAAAACAGATTCTCCCCTGGAGCCTCCTGAGGAACCAGCCCTGCTGACACCCTGACTTTACCCCTATGAGACTGATTTTAGGATTTCTGACCTTCAGAACTACAAGATTTTTAAAGTTATATTGTTCAAGGTCATGTGCTCCAGAAGCAATAAGAAGCTAATACACTTCTCCAGCTTACCTTTGCCCAAATAACTACCAAGGGGCATACAGCACGTTCTGCGGCTGCCTGTGACTCTCCTCTGCCTTGCCCTCCCTACTCCCAGTACAGAGTCTGAGGAGCAGATACCATAAGAAAATCAACCTCAAAGATGCTGTCATTCACAGAGGAGTGAAATTGTTAAAAAGATCATCTAAAACGCTAGATTACCATATGTTGGTATTCTTGCAAAAAGTTTGGTTTGGGGTCAGGGTATGGAGAGGATACAGGCAGGAGTGAAAGGGTGTAGTAGATGAAACTGCCCACTGATGGACTGGGCTTTGCTGGAAACCCAAAGCTAACCCAGAGTTGAATAGTCCCTACAGACAATCCTTGGAGGCGGGAGTGGGGGGGTGGGGCGTGGGGGCGAGAGGCTGACAATCACAGGCAATCTCTGGAAGCCACACTCGGACCTCACAGCCACAGAACATGCTCTGCACCCTGGCTGGGATGAAATGCTACACAGCTTTTAAAAACGATTTTGAGAATGAGATGGTAATCTAGAAAATGCATCAAGGGAAGACCAAAAAAAAAACCTTGAAATTTATTTATAAAAAATTGTGTATTTATTCTTACATGTTTAAACCTCGGTCACCTTCAAAGTACTCATTTGATGCAATACACCTATTAAGATACTTTTTCCACTGCTCAATACTTTTTCCAATGCACAACTCATGGATGTTGATGCCTTTTAGTGCTTCTGTTGTTTTTGTTCTACCTCTTCCACATCAGCAAAATGTTGCCCTTTGAGGACTGTTTTCTTTTTTTTTTTTTTTTGAGTTGGAATCTCACTCTGTCGCCCAGACAGAGTGAGGTGATCCTTCCGCCTCAGCCTTCCAAGTAGCTGGAACTACAGGCATGTGCTACCACACCCGGCTAATTTTTTGATTTATTGTAGAGATGAGGTCTCGCCAAGTTGCCCAGGTGGGTCTCAAACCCGCGGGCTCAGGCAATACACTCACCTCAGCCTCCCAAAGCACGGGATTACAGGCTGAGCCACCAAGCCCAGGTTGAGGACTGCTTTCATCCAAGGAAACAATAAAAGTTGCTCGGGGCCAGTGAAGAGGGAGAGTGTGGCATGGGGATCGTGCTGTTTTTGATCAAAAACTGCTGATACTCATCACAGTGTGGACAGGTTGTTTATGTAAATCACTCATCATGAAATGGACAAACACATAGAAAGAATTTCCAAAAAAATTCACTGGAGCTGAACATAGCCTCTCATAACAACACTAGTTGGTACACTGATGCTGATGGGTTCCTGAAACATTTACCTAGTGTGGGAAGCCTGTACTACAAGGGGTCTGCCCTCCAAAAAATAATTCTGTTTTTTGGGGGATGTCCCCCCTTGTAAAGTATGTTTCCAAAATCAGACACAAATTAATAACGACATTCTATGAAAAAAATGCATAGAAAAAAAGCCTCTGGTAGGTAGCCTAACACATCAAAATGCCATCATGTGGAAATGATGTCATTGTGGGTGGTTATTTCTTTTTCTCTACATTTTCATTTGTTTTGCAGCATGGTTATATTAATTTGATCATTTTTTAAAAGTCTAAATTATTTTACTGGCTGAGAATGTCTTTGTATATACATTCATATGCAAATCACATACAAATAATATCTTTGTGTGCAGGGAATCATTAGGGAGGTCCCTACGGTATTTTGAGACACCTGGGCTAAAGCTGACCTCATCCCTCCTCCTCTCATTATTCCTGCTTAGCACTCATAAGATCCAGATAACCCAGAAAATCAAAATTTTACAAGTGTTTAGAACATGAAATAAAATTGTCTTACAACCACATACATTGCAAAATATTCATCATGGCCCTATTTTCTCAGATTAAATTGTTTGCACCACCACCTTAAGAAAGAAAATCGGGGAAAACTTGCTGACCACATGCAGAAGATTAAAACAAGACTTCTGCCTATCACCATACACAAAAGTTAATTTTAAATGTTTCAAAGACCTAAACATAAAACCTAAAACTATAAGAACCTTAGAAAATGCAGGAGACACCCTTATGGAAATTGGAACTGGCAGTCAATTCCTGATCAAAACCCTAAGTGCCCATGCCACAAGAGATAAAATAGACAAGTGGAACCTCATCAAACTGACAAGCTTCTGCAAAGTCAAAGAAACCATCGAGAGATCAGGGAGACAGCCCACAGACTGGAAATAAAATATTTGCCAACTCCATGTCTGACAAAGGCCTAACAACTAGGATCTACAAGGAACTCAAAGGTGCCAAAAAGAAAAAAACAAACAGCCCCCTTACAAAGTGGGCAAAAGATATGAATAGGCACTTCTCAAAAGAAGACATAAAAGCAGCCAACAGATATGTGAAAAAATGCTCAGCCTTACTAGTCATCAAAGAAATGCAAGTTAAAAGCACACTGAGATACCACCTAACTCCAGTCAGGATCGCCATAAATAACTGAAAAAACAACAGATGTTGGAGAGGATGTGGGGAAAAGGGACCACTTCTATGCTGTTGGTGGGAGTGTAAACTAGTACAACCTCTGTGCAAAACAGTTTGGAGATTCCCAAAAAGTCTAAAAATCAACCTCCCATAGGACCCCGCAATCCCCTTATTGGGAATATACCTGGAGAAACTCAAATCACTCTATGAAAAAGATAGCTGCACACGCAGGTATAGCAAAACATGGAAAAAACATGGAACTAGCCATGCTACCCATTGGAAGAAGATTGGGTAAAAAAAAAATGTAGTATATATACACGAAGGAATATTACGCAACCACAAATAAGGACAAAATTATGAACGTCACAGCAACTTGGATGAACTTAGAGTCTATAATACTGAGTGGTCTATCACAGAAACAAAGAACTGAGTATCACATGTACTCACTCATAAGTAGACCTTGAATAATTACTGTAATACTGTAAGAAAAGGATTGTCAATAGTAGGAAATTGCCCTGGATTGGGGGGTGGTAGGGGTTGGCAGTAGTGGGATTCTGCAGGGGAAGGTGGGGGGCACACCTCATCAACAAGGGTACCTTCATAACGAACATTTATATACTTAACCCTGAATTGTATCCCACATTTTTAAAATAATTTTTTTTTTTAAGATAGAAAATTGGGATTGGAAACATCTGGCAGGTCTCCTGCAGGGAAACAGTATGACCAGGAAAAGACCTTTCCCCTTGTCTCCTCCCATCAGGAACCCAGAGATGTTAATCTCTCTGGAGCCAGTTACCTGGACTCCATCCATTAGCAAAGCAATAACTAGGAGCTATATCTAGTTTGGAGTTGAGAGCAAAAGCGTGGTTTTCTTCTTTGAAAAACTTGTTCATCACAGGTCTTTCTGCCATGAATCTTCCTTCTTCCTTTTAATCTTTTTCTCGCTAATAAATTTTATTTGAAAACTGCAAAAATAAATAAATAAAATAGAAAATTGAAACAAAGAAAAGCAGGAGCGCCACCTGTTGGGGAAATTTCCCACTATCATCTTCGATTTATCTCTCATCCTAACTCATCCCACACACCGCGCAGCAAGCAACACCGCTCTTTTTTTCTGTTCCATCTCCTTTGGAGGCCTGGTGGCACAGACCCCTCCAGGGCCATCCCCATCCCCACCTTGGGGTGCTCCTCGGGCACGTGCTGCTTGGAGAACTTGGCGAGCTGGACGAGCTCCGGGATGACCTCTTTGACATCGTAGCTGTTGGTGCAGTTCACCAGGGTGGTGGCCACCGAGTACAGGATGGTCTTGTCACTGGTCTGGAGACACAGGGTGGGGGAGGGAGAAGGCAGAAAAGGAAACCTTAGGACCAACCTCTGTTTCCAGGGCACTCCCTCATATGGCCCCAAGTTGGCTAGGGAGGAGTGTGGGCAGTGGGGCCCATCCTGGGAAAATACAGCAGCACAGAAGGAGAAGAACAGCTCTGCTATAAAGTATAAGCAGAAATGTCTCCTGCACCCTCAACAGTACCTTTGAGTATATGAGTAGGAGTCTTCTCCCAAAGCTCCCTGCTTTGTGGCTCTTTCAAAAGCCCACAAAGTCAGCCTGGTGCAGTGGCTCACACCTGTATTCCCCGCACACAGGTGAAGGTGGGAGGGTCATTTGAGCCTAGGAGTTTGAGACCAGCCTGGGCAAAATAGCAAGACCTCGACTCTACAAAACAGTAAAAAAATAAAATAAAATAGCCAGGCATGGTAGCATGAGTTTGTAGTTTCAGCTACTCGGGAGGCTGAGGCAGAAGGATCGCCTGAGCCCAGGAGGTCCAGGCTGCAGTGAGCTGTGATGCTGTGATTGTGTTACTGTGATTGTATTACTGCACTCTAGCTCACGCAACAGAGTGAGATCCCTGACTAAAACAAAACAAAAGAAATAAAGAAAAAAACATAAAAAATAAAAAGCCCAGTCTAACACTTTCCCATCCAACTGAGGTGGGGATGGTGTGGGAGCTGGATAGCCTTTGGTCCAGCCCTGGTGGAAATCCCTCCCATATTTCCTCCCCTACTGGTAAAAAGGAGCCAGGGAGGTGGCCCAGCAAAGGAGGAGAAGAATCTGGGAGGGGCTAGGAGGAAGAGGATGCCATCCAGAGAGGCTAGACACTGCCTCTTGTCCCATGAGACCTCACTTCTAGGGGGCCCCAGAAAAAATGTACTGCCCTTTTGTTCATTCTCCCACTGCCTGGAAGGTCTGAAGAGTCATGAGTCCATTTAACACTCAGGTAAAATGAGGGCCAGAAAGAGGGAAATGACCAATCCAGGTTTACACTGGGGGATGGGGGTAGAGCCAGGACAAGTACACAGGGGTTCATTCTCTGTGGGTCTGGACCCAGAAGACCTTTCCAGAGGTTAGCAATCAAGGCAGACTCCACACTTGCCTTGGCCAGCTCAAACATGGCCTGCAGGGCAGGAATGTCCTGGACAAAGTCATCCTTCACATCAGCGTCCAGTGTGAGGTAGGCCAGGCCCTCCACTGCCCAGCGCCGGGTCCGCGTGTCTATGGCCGCATTGCACAGCCACCTGGAATGGGGGGAGCATTGCTGAGAAGGATGTCAGGGCTCAGGTCAAGAGGGTGAAGCGATTTCAGGGTAGTGGACAATGGCCAAGGCCCCTTTCACTCTCTGGCGCCCAAAGAGACCTCTACATGGAAGCCCATGAGGAGATGGAGGACCTGGGAAATGAAGCCCCCTTACTTGCGACACTGTTTGGCCAGTTTCTCTGTCGATCCTTCCGCAAACTGCCTGAGACCGTAGTCTGTGCCACCTGCAGAGCCGAGCTTACAGAGTCCCTGTGGAGGAGCGAAGACAGTGGACACGCAGGATCAGAGACACCAAGGCTTAGGGACGATGACTTGTACAAACAGTGCCCTGTGGCCAGAACACTTCACCCTCTTTCCTTGCCTGGATACACCTCTGTGTCACCTCTTCTAAAATGCCTTCCCTGATGCTTCTTGGTTAGGGTAGGTGCCCAAGAAGCTGCAGGTTCTTATTCTGCCTGCTTTCCCCCAAAATGTTTGATTCAAAATGTTTTGTGCCCAGCATTTTTGAAAAATCAGTAAAAGACCATGCTAACTGTATCTGAAACTACAATTGTAAGTCTTGCTATGGCACAAAAACTGGCAGAGAAATCTGTTATCCATCTCTTGTGGATAACAGATTCAGATGCACATTTGACCTAGAGAAAATTGGACCCTTCTTGGGTGGGGGGGAGTCTTCCATAAGAGAAAACTCACAATGGCAGAAGCTAAAATTAGTTTTTTAAAAAATTGTTATAGGTTGGGTTTGGTGGCTCAGCCTATAATCCCACGCTTTGGGAGGCCGAGGTGAATGGATTGCCTGAGCCCACGGGTTCAAGGCCCGCCTGGGCAACTTGGCGAGACCTCAACTCTACTATAAATCAAAAAATTAGCCGGGCGTGGTAGCACGCGCCTGTAGTTCCAGCTACTTGGAAGGCTGAGGCGGAAGGATCGCCAGAGCCCAGCAGGTCGAGGCTGCGGTGGCTGGGAGCCTGCCACTGCACTCCAGTCTGGGCGAAAGAGTGAGACTCCAACTCGGAAAAAAAGAGAACAAAAAAATTGATATAAACAAAAAACCAAATCAATGGCTCAAATCGTCAATGTAACTGTTTACAAGAAAAAGAAAAGATCAATAAAAATAATTTCAATAAAATGAGAGTGGAAAAAATAAAATGGGTTTAACTATGCCACAGAGAAACTTATTAAGGAAACAAACTTTTTGAAATTTGCTCTGAAAATGCATTCTGGACGCAAGCTCATCGCGTCAGTGTCATTTGTAAGCAGGGAGGTGAATGTTCTTTGTTAAATAGTGGGCCCGCCACTCTGATCCTCTATCCTCATAGGCCCCACAGATGGCCCCATTCTGCAGGAGCCTATGGGTGGGTCTGGTACCCCCTCACACATTGTTTCCCAAGGACAAGGGCCTCGACTCATTCATCCTGGTGTCCCTGGCACCTGCCATGGCATCTGGAGCCAGGTAGGTGGGTGGTAATCGCTCCCACTCACCACCAGCGTGCGGATCTTGATCTTTTCATTTTTGGTGGTCTTGTAGATTTGTTTGAGCATCGATACGCCATTGGTGATGATGAAGGTGGCACGACTGAGCTTGGTGGAGGCATGGATGAGGGCCTCCACGGCCACCAGTTGGTCCACCTCACGCTCCGAGCCACACAGAGCCACCATCATCTCCATGACACCTTTCAGGCCCAGCAACTGGTTGCCCAGGTCAAAGGGGCCCTGCAGGATTCCTGACACTGTCTGGATGGCATTCAAATTCTTGTCCATGTCCTGGGGGTCAAACTTGCCCCTAAAACAGAAGGCAGGGTGGTCAAGAGAACGGGCCCAAAGGGGTGGGAAAAGTGTGAAATCTGGAGGCAGACTGATTTGGATTTTTATCCCAACTCCACCTCTCATGTGCTATGTGACACCTGGCCAGTTAACTGAACCTCTCTGCACCTCAGCTCCTGTAAACTGAGAATAGTACAACTACTTCTCAGAGTTGTGATGAGGATAAGTGACACAAAAGATGCGTCACTGGATGTGCCCCCTAGGAAGCCCATGCTGACTCGGAGATTGGCATGCAGAAAGTTTATTAGACAGAACTCTTGGGAAGAGAAAGATACAGAACTGAGCAGAAGAAGGCATTGGGCTGCAATGCAGTCACCACAAAGTCTTAGCCCATGAAGAGTTCTGGAGCTGGGGCACCCTCCAGAGTTTCTCCAAGCTGAGATGAGTCTTTGGGTACAGGCTGCCCTGGGAAGGATGAGAAGGCAAGTCCCAAGGAGAGGTGACAGCTGAACACTGTCAGTCAACAGACTTTCCAACAGCTATAACAACTCAAAAGGGCCTCGTATTGCTCTGCAACGTGGCCGGGGCCAGCCACTCTCTTCTGGTGATCTGATCTCAGTCCCTTCCCCTGTCACTGAGGGTGTGGGCTAGATATCCAGGAAGGTTCTGCCTTGTTTTCAGAATCTACTCTAGGGGAGAGTCTCTGCGTGGGGATGGCAGAGGGGACATGCCTTCTGCTGTTTCTTTGATCTGCTCAGGTTGGTTCAGTGCAGAGAATCGGGATAGATGTGCACAGCAGAAATGCAGATCCGCATCAGTGAAAGAAGGTGGCATGGACTGGTCAGGAAAACCCCACACCAAGAGTCCCAGACCTGTGCTTTGGTTCCTTATCTGCCTCTGAATGCTGGGAGATCTTGCGCAAGTCCTTCTTGGGAGAGGAGTTGGCTTTGGAAGTTCTGAGAGCCCTCCTTCCCCAGCTTCCATGTCCTGTGCCTCATCTCTCCACCCAGTGCCCGGAGAACACAGTGTCTTTCATAACTAGTTGGGGTGTGCTCTTTGAGCTGGCGCCTGAGCCTCCTCACAGGCTCTGCCCCTGATGAAGCAAAGTGCATTTCACCCTTGCTGGGGCCACGTTGGGCACCATTTGATGAAGGCAGTGAGCCCCATACTCAGCATTCCACAAGATGACCAGAAAGGGACCTCAATCAAAAAGCCCAACAAGGACTCTCTGGGTTACTGGAACTCAATTTGGGACTTCATGAGGGACTTCATTTAATCAGCAGGCAAAGCAGAAGTGGAGATAGAGAAAGACAGAGAAGCCATGGGGAGCTTTAAGTGAACCAAGGGCAGGGGTAAGTAGAAGCTGTGGGATGGAACAGGAGTTAGCAAATCCAGGAGCTGAGGATAGCTTATGCATTTTAAAGGGTTTTTTAGAAAAAGAATATGTGTTAGAGACTGGATGTTGCTTCAAGTCACTGAATTTTGGAATACTTTTTTACACAACCATAGTTAACATATACAAAGCCCCACCCTGTGAGGCCTGCAGGAAACTTACGTGATATATTCCTCGCAGATCTTGCGAAAGTGATCACGTTCCGGGTCACAGCGCAGGTCATCATAAAGCTTGTTGATGAGGATAGAGGCCAGCATGCAGGTGTTATCGGTCAGGGGCAGGCAGGACGACAGATCTGGAACCTGCCCCACGACCTTCAGGATCTTCCTCAGGCCTACGGGGTAGACAGAGGTAAACATGAGATTCCTCACAAACACATTGCCTGCTCGGTGATGTCTTGTCACCAGTTTCATTCCAGCCCTGTCGTAGGCAGCACATGGGCACTATCCAGAGTGAGGGACACTAGATTGGGGTCAAGACACCCTGGTTCTACCCTGACCTTGACCAATTTACCTCCCTCTAGAAGCACTTGCACGTGTATCTTGCTGAGATCTGTGAAAATCAAACTAGGGAAGTGTAATATCAAAAGATAATAAATTTCAAGCTGATCTGAACCTTTCAGAACAAGGTATAGTCTATATATCATAAAACCTTTGGGAGAATTTACCATAGCAGATTTTAAAGCCACAGGTATGATTCCTGAACAATTAAAGAAATTGATTTAGGAGAGGGGTAGCACCCTGGAGCTGACAGATTAAGTGAATATCTGCTAAAACACTTTTATTGTGCTTTATATAAAACTTACTTGACGTCATTTTCTCCCTTCTAGAAGACCTGTAAAGTATTTCACCAACCATGAGCCATTCTAGCAAGTTATAGAACCTGAAGGAGGGGATCGTGGGGACTTATAATTTATAGTTGGCCAGTCAGAAGCACAGGTGGCAACCTGGACTTGCAGCTGGCATTTGAAAGGGGGCAGTCCTCGTGGGACTGAGCCCTCAACCTGTGGGGTCTGTGCTAACCTGGAGAAGGAAGGACTTAAGAGACTTCTGGAATTTTATCCCACGGTTGGTGGAGTCCTGTTTGTTTTTGACACATGCCCCTATTTTTCAGGTAACTCCACCCAGTTAGTCTGGGGTGGGTTTGGGCACTTTCTGGGTGTGTTTAGGAATTCAGAACCTTGGCCTACACCTTCACCTGCCACTGATGGCCTTGAACTTGCTAATGCCTTTTCACGCATTTTTGATTGGGATTGAAGACTCTGGCCTCTTCCACTTTGTGCTCAGAGCAAGGTACGTTGGTGCCCACTTCAAAGGCTTGAGTGAGCCCCAAACCCTCCCATGTCCTCACCGTTATCCACCACGTAGATGGTGCGCGAGTTGTCGTGAATGGCAAGGTCTTTCCTGGGGACGTTCTTATTGAGCAGGTTCAGCGCCTGATCCCTGCCCTGGCCAGACACCTTCTTACTGACCAGCATGTCGAGCAGGTGGCTGGTGATCTGCTTCAGGTCCTTCTTGGTGTCTGAGGAGCAAGAGGACAGGGGAAAGAGAGAGGAGTAGGACATCTGAGATATACGGGACCAGGAATGGCAGAGGCTTCTAGACTCTGGAAATATGGATCCATCACTTCCTGGATATGTGGATTTCCCAGGAGAGTACAGTATTGCCCATCTTACTCCCAAAAAAGGGAGGGAAGCCCCTAAACAACACCCCCAAGAGGTCATCCAACCACCCTGAACTCTCATTTCTACAACAGTAGAAATTCATTTCATTTCATCCTTGAATAGTCTGGGTTCTTAGAAAGTTCTTCACTCCCAGAAATGACTGACAGGCATCCAGGGATGCATTATGTTGTTTTTAATAAACTGGCCTAATAAACTGTTTTTCATAAAGAGAGTTTATACTCCTTATAGACATTTCACTCCCTACAGCTTTGGGCATGCTGGGAGCCTGAATTCATACTTCTACATTTGTTGCCAGGATCTCCTGCTCGCTGGTGGATCTTGAAAGGCAAATGTCTTGTTCTGATTTTGCCCTGTCCGACCTCCCTGAAACTTAGAGGCTTTTTTTTCTCATTCTAGGATGGAGTCCAAGGCCAGATATGCAGGCAAAAAAGCAAAGATCTCCAAATCATGTCAGGTACATAACTGATAAAAGAATGGGGCTTCATAACCTGGAGGAGGAAGGACATAAGTGGATTTTTGACAGGTTGTTTCCAGTCAAGGGTATGTCATGAGGGTGAGATAACAGACATTTCTGTGAGACTCCAGAGGGCAGAATCAGGACCAGAGCTGGATGGAAGCTACAAGAAGATGGATTTGAAATCAATATGTGGAAGAATTTTGTAGCAGAAATATCCAACCCAAGGAAATCATGGAAGACTCAGGCACAACCTGAGACTTAAAAAGCACATTGGGGCTTGTCCATTTAGAATTCAGTCACCATATTACTTAGAAGCTGGCCACTAGAGAGGCCACAAGGAGAAAAAAATGGAGGTTTCCTAGCCAACATTTCCAGTTCACCACCAGTGGGATCATTCTGAATCTTTCAAAAACTCTAGCTCAGGGGGGGAAAAAGTGTGCCTGTAGTTCTGGCTACTTGGAAGACTGAGATGGAAGGATCATGGGGGTGACACTGGGGTGGTCATGAGCGTAACACTGTACCTCAGCCAGGGTGACGGAGTGAGATTTCAACGAAAAAAAAAAAAAGTGACTAGCTGACCACTACAATCAGAGCCACATCAGGAATCCAGGACTCCAACAGGTTAATATTATTAATCTATAATGAACTTTTATGAACAAATAAGAAAAACATTTATATTCCAAGAGAAAAAATAGAGGCTAGACTTGGTGGCTCAGCCTGTAATCCCAGCACTTTGGGAGGCCGCGGTGAGTGGATTGCCTGAGCCCGCGGGCTCAAGATCCACCCAGGCAACTTGGCGAGATCTCAACTCTACAAGAAATCAAAAATTAGCTGGGCGTGGTAGCGCGCGCCTATAGTTCCGGCTACATGGAAGCCTGAGGCGGAAGGATCGCCAGAGCCCAGCAGGTTGAGGCTTCGGTGGCTGGGAGCGTGCCACTGCACTCCAGTCTGGGTGGCAGAGTGAGACTCCAACTCAAAAAAGAAAAGAAAAAAATAGGTAACAGCGTGAACAAACCATCCAAAGACAAAGAAATCCAAATGGCTAATAACGATAAAGAAAAAAGATCAATCTCACTAGTAATTTATTTTGATTCAAACAAGATAATTTTTATCTACTGAATAGAAAAAAATGTTTAAGAATGACAGTATTCTTCAAATCTGGTGAGAATGTGTTAAAATGGGACCTTTCAAATGCAAACATAGATTTTTTTTTTTAAAGGCTACTGAAGAGTTTTGTATGAGTTTGCAAATTGGAAACAATCTAAATCTCCAAAATTGGCTGGGTATACTCTGGCTCATGTCTGTAATTACAGCGATTTGGGAGTGGGGAAGGAGGACCACTTGAGGCTAGGAGATGGAGACTAGCCTGTGCAACATGGGAAGGCATGTCTACCAAAAACACAAAAAATTAGCTAGGTATGATGGCACATGCCTCCTAGCTGAGGCAAGAGGATCACTTGAGCCTTGGAATTCGAGGGTACAGTGAGTTATGATAGCACCACTGCACCTTCACCCAGTCTGAGTGACAGAGTAAGACCACATAATACATACATACATACATACATACATACATTAAGTCTTCAATAATATAGAGCTGGTTGGTGAATTTTGATATAGCTATAAAAGGGAAGAATTATGAAATTATCTAAAACAAAGTTTTCTGAGTGAACGCGCCTGTGTGACCCTCCTAGCCAGACTAGGAGCTTCTAAACTGATGCCTAGGACCTGAACATGCAGGAGGAAGTATGAATCTGTATGTGCATATATGTGGGAGACAAATGTAAAATTAATTACTAAGACTAAAGGAATCCTTTTTAAGACCATGAAATGGTATGCAATATTAATATAATGCTCAGGGAAGGAAAACATAAAACTCTCCATAGCAGAATTCCAACTTTGTCAAATAGATAAATATCTATGGATGGATAAAAAAAAGACAGGAAAGGAGCCGGGCTCAGTGATTCACACCTGTAATCCCAGCACTTTGGGAGGTGGAGATAAGGGGTTCGAGACCAGCCTGGGCAATGTCGCGAAATCTCATCTCCACAATAAATTTTTTTTTAAAAAGTAGCCAGGCATGGTGGTGCATGCCTGTGGTTCCAGCTACTTGGAAGACTGAGGTGAAAGAATCACCTGAGCCCAGCAGGTCGAGGCTGGGGTGGCCGTGAGCGTGCCACTGCACTCTAGCCTGGGTGACAGTGAGACTCCTACTCAAAAAAAAAAGAGAGAAAAGACAGGAAGAGTATGCTCAGTGGTGATGGGTAGCTGAATGGGAGGCTGCAGATTTTGTTATTATTGTTGTTGTTTATCATTTTTACATAGTTCTATATTTTTCTAGGAAGCCTCTGTCACTTTTATTAAATTGTGGTAAAATTTACATACCATAAAATTTACCATTTTCACCATTTCTAGTGTACAGTTCCATGGCATTAAGTATATCCACACTGTTGTGCAACTATCATCACTGTCCCTCCACAGAGCTGTTTTTCATCTTGCAAAACTGAAATTCTATTCCCATTAAACGATAACTCCCCATTTCCCCTCCTCTAGCCCCTGACAAACACCATCCTACTTTCCATCTCCATGAATTTGACTGCTCTAAGCACCTCATATGAGTGGACTCATGCAGCATCGGTCTTTTTGTGACTGCCTGATTTCATTAACATAAGGTCCCCAGTGTTCATCTACGTGGTAGCGTGTGTCAGGATTTTCTTCCTTTTTTAGGAATATTCCATTGTGTGTATGTACTACATTTTGCTTCTCCAGTCATCTGCCTGTGGACACTGGGTCATTTCCATCTTTTGGCTACTGTGAACACTACTGCTATGCCTGTGTAACTTTTATCATCAGAAAATATATGCTAACATAAAACCAAGCCACCTCCATGTACAGCGAATGCCCAGTCTGAGGTGATGACTGACTCTTCCTCTCCCCAGCCTCTTGAACCAAAATTGAAAAACTTCTCCTACCTAGAACCAGGGCCTCCTCCTTCCCTCGATGCTCCCGCTTGTCCTCCCCAGACAGGGAGTCAATGATGACTTGGAGAAGGTTGCAGACGGCCAGAGACATCTCCTCATTCTCCACAGCCAAGAGGCTACAGATTCGGTCAATCCGCACTGCGTGCAGGATCACTGTGGCCTAGACCCCCAGCAAGAACCATGATCAGCTGCGCTGCCTCCCTTCCACCTGCCACCAAGTTTAGAGGATAGGTGATAACTGCCCCCGCCTCACCCCATGCAGCAGGGAAATAAGCCCGGGCAGCCAAAGCCTCAAGGGGCTCCCAGTCCTGGAAAGGTCTGGACGTAAACCATACCCATTTCCAAAAAGGTCAGAGCTGTGCCATTTACAACACTTGCCACATGGGCCTGTTGAGCACTTGCAATGTGGCAAGACCACATATAGTTGTGCTGTAAGTGTAAAATAGCACTGGGTTTCAAAGACTTAGCATGATCAATGTTAAAATGTCTTTGCATTCAGCTCTTCCTCACAAATCACTCTTAAAAATCTTATCTTGGCCAGGTTCAGTGGCCCAGCCTGTAATTCCAGAGCTTTGGGAGGCCAAAGTGAGTGGATTGCCTGAGCCTGCGGGTTTGAGACCCACATGGGCAACTTGGCGAGACCTCATCTCTACAATAAATCAAAAATTAGCCGGGTGTGGTAGCGCACGCCTGTAGTTCCAGCTACTTGGAAGGCTGAGGCGGAAGGATCGCCGGAGCCCAGCAGGTTGAGGCTGCGGTGGCTGGGAGGGGCCACTGCACTCCAGTCTGAGTGACAGAGTGAGACACAACTCAAAAAAAAACAAATCTTATCTTTGGACCAGGGATGGTGACTAATGGCTGTAATTCCAGGATTTTGGGAGGCTGAGGTGGAGTGATTGCTTGAGCCCAGGAGTTTGAGATCAACCTGGGCAATAGAGTGAGGTCTTGTCTCCACACACAAAAAAATTTAAAAATTAGCTCAGTGTGGTGCCTATAGTCCCAGCTACTTGGGAAACTGAGGTGGGAGGATCACTTGAGTTCAGGAGTTCAAGGCTGCAGTGAGCCATGATTGTGCCACTACACTCTAGAGTGAGACCCCCAACTAAAAAAAAAAAATCTTATCTTTGCTTAGTCAAACCCACGTCCAGTTCAAAGAAAGAAAAAAATTGGAACATTCTTTAGACTTTGTATCAGGTTCTGTTGATGCTAGCCCCAGCCCTGGACACAGGTCACCCTGCAGATCCTTGGAAAGGCAGCTATCCACTCCACATGCCCAACAGTCGGGCCCTCACCCTGGCTCGGTGGCCACTGCACATGCCCGACAGGGTCCGCACTGCAGCCAGCACCAGCTCAGGTCTCTTAGTATCCAGAAGCTGCAGCAGCAGGAACACTCCGTTGTTCTGGAAGATCTTCTCAGCCCCTGCTTCCTCACGGCCTAGGACAATGAGGTTGTTGGCAGCCTGAAGGAGGGAAGGAGCAATGAGGGTCATAAGGGAGGCATGGCTGCTCAGGTATTGACCATGAGCCAAGAGCTGGCAAAGACTAGGTCTTCAGAACACCTTTCTATTCTCTCCTCTTACAGTCCTACTCCTGAAAACACAGCCCAAGAACATAAGTCAAAAGAAGAAACAAAGTAACTTGCATAAAGACCAACTTAATGAAATCTATTGTATCCATCAAAATCATAAATAAAAAGACTTGGCCAGGCGTAGTGGCTCATGCCTGTAATCCCAGCACTTTGGGAGACCAAGAAGAAAGGATTGCTTAAAACCAGGAGTTTGAGACCAGCCTGGGTAGCATGATCTCATCTCACTGGGTGCTATGGGTCACGCCTGTAATTCCAGCACTTTGGGAGGCAGAGGTGAGAAGATTGCCTGAGTCCAGGGGTTTGAGACAAGCCTGGGCAACTTGGCAAGACCTCGTCTCTACAATAAATCAAAAAATTAGCCAGGTGTGGTGGCATGCACTTATAGTCCCAGCTACTCCAGAGGTTGAGGTAGAAGGATCACCTGAGCCCTGAAGGTCAAGGCTTTGGTGAACTGTGATTGTGCACTCCAGCCTGAGTGACAAAGGGAAACCCCAACTCAAAAAGAAAAAGAAGGAAGAAATAGCAAAGGATTTGTGGATATACAGAGGGTGCCCAAAAAAGTATACACATTTTAAGACAGAAAAAAATTGAACTAAAATTGTAATACTCGGCAGGGAGCAATGGCTCACACCTGTAATCCCACTACTTTGGGAGACGGAGGCTAGAGGATTGCCTGAGCCCTGGGGTTCAAGACCAGCCTGGACAACTTGATGAAACCTCATCTCTACAATAAATTTTTTAAAAATTGGCCAGGCATGGTGGTGCACACCTGTGGTTCCAGCTACTTGGAAGGCTGAGGCAGAAGGCTCACTTGAGCCCAGCAGATTGAGGTTGCGGTGGTCATGAGTTTGCCATTGCACTCCAGCCTGGGTGACAGAGTAAGACTCCAACTCAAAAAAAAAAAAAAAAAAATCTCATCTCTACAAAAAATTAAAAACATAGCCAGGTGTGGTGGTGTGCCAGTAGTCCCTGCTACTCAGGAGGTGGAAGGATTACCTGAGTCCAGGAGGTTGAGGATACGGTGAGCCTTGAGCGTGTCACTGCTATCCAGCCTGAGCAACAGAGTGAGATTTTGACACACACAAAAAAAGTACTTTGATTGTACTTAGGTTAAAATAAAGCTGTGTGTGCCTGCTTGTGGAGAAGGACTAGAAAAATGGTAGAGAAAAATGAAGTGTTTTTACATGGAGAATCATCTCCTTAAAGCTTTTCCTTTAATATAGTTTTAGCATTTTTAATTTGTTTGCCTGTTCAGGAGAATCTAAAGCTGTAAGGGTTCCCAGGAAGGTGGAAGATGGTAGACAGAAAGAGTGCTAGATGGGACGGGTAGCCCTGGGCTTGGTTTCTGATTCTATTCCCTGCTAGCTGTATGAGCTTAGGTGAGTCACAGCATCTCTCTGGGCCCCAGATGCCTCATCTGTAAAATTAGACTGAGCTAGAAGATTCCCAAGCCTCGTCCCACCTAAAGTCTTCCAACTTGAAGATACGTGAACCCTGAAAGGTTTCAGATGTGGTGCAGGAGGTCTCAAACAGGACCTGAGAAACTGGGGCTGAGAGATCTTGAAAGGTGGGAGGAGAGGAGGAGGTAAACAAAGAGACAAGGAGTGAAATGCTGGGGAGATGGCTGGTGGGGTGAGTTCAGGCAAGCATGACAGGAACTATCACTCCCAGGCCAGGGTTTTGTGCTTTTCAAAAAAAAGTTATTTTTTTCTATAAGGACTCATTATGTCCTCACAAGAGTTTGTTATAAAAGATATTTGCATATTTTATGGATTTATTGACCATAAAACTAACAAAAATTCCCCAGGCATCGTCTGTCAAGTTCTTATAAATGTAAAACACTCAAATATTCAATTTCTTTCTCCACAGAGGGACTAGGAGGGAATATGAAAAACGCAACAAATTTGGTTAAGAAGATGATCATACCAGTAAACATTTTAATTTTTCAGAATGACTTCTTTACATTGTTTTTATTTATTTACTAATTTATTTTTTGAGTTGGAGTCTCACTCTTTCATCCAGGCTGGAGTGCAGTGGTACACTCACTGCCACCACAGCCTCCACCTGCTGGGCTTAGATGATCCTTCCACCTCAACCTTCCAAGTAACTGGAACTACAGGCACGGGTCACTAGGCTCGGCTAATTTTTTGATTTATTGTAGAGACAAGGTTTCACCAAGTTGCCCGGGCTGGCCTCAAACCCCTGGACTCAGGCAATCCTCTCGCCTCGGCCTCTCAAAGTACAGGTATTATAGGTTTGAGCCACAGCACCCAGTGAGATGAGATCATGCTACCCAGACTGGTTTCAAACTCCTGGCCTCAAGCAATCCTTTCTTCTTGGCCTCTTTACAATGTTTTTAAATGAAAGAAGACATTATTTTAATGTGTCTTTGTTTCTTGGGGCCAAAATTATGGTGAGGCAAGTGAGGAGCTTGCCTTGGGTGCAAAATTTAAAGGGGCACCAAAAAACTCAATAATCAAGGTAAATAATATTTAATGCAATATTTTTTATTTCTTTTATTTTTAATTTTTTTTATTTACTTTTTCGTCGTAGTCTCACTCTGTTGCTCAGGCTGGAGTACAGTGACACAGCCACCACAGCCTCAACCTGCTGGGCTCAGGAGATCCTTCCAACTCAGCTTTCCAAGTAGCTGGAACTACAGGCACACACCACCATGCCCTGCTAATTTTTCTTGATTTATTATAGAGACAAAATCTCAGCTGGGCTCGGTGGCTCAGTCTGTAATCCCGTGCGTTTGGGAGGCTGAGGTGAGTAGATTGCCTGAGCCCGCGGGTTTGAGACCCGCCTGGGCAACTTGGTGAGACCTCATCTCTACAATAAATCAAAATGAGCCGGGTGTGGTAGCGCACGCCTGTAATTCCAGCTACTTGGAAGACTGAGGCGGAAGGATCTCCAGAGCCCAGCAGGTCGAGGCTATGGTGGCTGGAAGCGGCCACTGCACTCCAGTCTGGGTGACAGAGTGAGACTCCAACTCAAAAAAAAAAAAAGATCTCACCAAGTTGCGTGGGCTGTTCTCGAACCCCTGAGCTCAGGCAGTCCTTTCACCTCTGCCTCCCAAAGGGCTGGGATTACAGGCATAAACCATTGTGCCTGGCTGCAATATTTTTAAAGATAAAAATTAAAGGCCGGGCTCGTGGATTACCTGAGGTGGCAAGTTCGAGAACTGCCCAGGCAACTTGGCGAGACCTTGTCTCTACAATTAAAAAAAAAAAAAATTAGTCGGGCCTGATAGCACATGCCTGTAGTTCTGGCAACTTGGAGAGGCTGAGGTGGAAGGGTCGCCTGAGCCCAGCAGGTCGACTGCATCCCAGCATGGGCAACAGAGTGAGACTCCAACTCAAAAAAAAAAAAAAAGATAAAAATCAGAGTCTGGACAACACAGTGAAGCCTCGTCTCTACCAAAAAAAAAAGAAAGAAAAGCTGAGTATGGTGGAATGTAGTCCCAGCTACTGGGAATGCTGAGGCAGAAGGATCTCCTGAGCACAGGAGGCTCAGCCTGAGTGACAGAGACCCCTCCCACTCAAAAATAAATACATACATATATATCAGGCCGGGAAGTGGCTCACACCTGTAATCCCAGCACTTTGGAAGGATGAGGCAAGAGGATCCCTTGAGCCCAGGAGTCCAAGGCTGCCGTGAGCCAATTGTGCCACTGCACTTCAGCCTGGGCAACAGAGCGAGACCTTGTCTCTAAATACTAATTAATATTAAAATAATAAAATAAAAATCAATGCAAAAAAATCCATGATGAACGAAATCTCAGATAAAGACAAGTCCTACAACTTGGGCAACATAGCGAGACTTTGTCTCTACAAAAATAATCCAAAAAATTAGCCGGGCATGGCTGTGCACTCCTGTAGTCCCAGCTCCTGGGGGGGCTGGGAGTGGGGGCTGGAGGAGGGCAGGCAGGGATGACAGAGGTGGAAGGATTGCCCAAGCCCAGGAAGTCCAGTCTGTAGTGGGCCGTGATCATGCCATCACTGCACTCCAGCCTGGGTAACAGAGTGAGACCCCAACTCAAAAAAAGAAGACAGCATCCAATCCTACTGCATGGCTCTTCTCATTGGATCCACCCTAATCCCAGCCCTTCTTAGAGTTCATGCTCTGTTTTTTTAACCATTGATCAATTTTCCTTCACTTTCTTCAAGGATAGGTCTCCCAGTCCCACTAACTCCCAGAGCGGTGCTACTGTCCAGAGACTGGGGGATCCAGAGAGCGCCCTCTGCAAGCTGGATGACACCAACCAGCACTCACCTTTTCACGTTTATCAGCCTCACTGTTTTCATCCAAGAGGATCTCAAACATCTTTTGTACCCTCGAGTCTGTGGAGAACTGCACACGGAGCTGAGGAGAGAAGAGGCGGTGGGGAAGGTGGCAAGTGTGGATCACACCATTTCAGTCTGTGCCACATTCAGTTCAACTCCATGAATATCAGGGTATCTACTCTGGGCCCTGGCACATTCATTCATTCGTTTATTCATTCAACAAACATTTACTGAATAAATACGGTGGTCTGGGCACTATTCTAGATGCTGGGGACAAAATGGTGAATAAAATCATGTCATTGCTCCACAAAGTTTCCCGTCTAGTTACACTTGTTAATCCCATTTGGTTATCACCACAGTCTTGGAAGGCAAGAGATTATCAGTCTAATTTTAGAGTCTAGTAAACAATTCGCTATTAGACATTTAAATAGGGACAAAGACAGAAATATGCCTTCCAGGCTTAGAAACCTGAAGCAGCTCTCAAGTACTGTGTCGAGCAAATCCAAACCATTACGTTTGAGTATCTAGTCCCTCACACTCCCCACCCCAAACCCACAGTTCCAAGTATTTCATACAATGATCTAACTGGCCATCATCCCCCAGCTGGCCAACTCCTTGTGTGCCTCCTACTGTTTTGTTCTGCTGATCCACACTTCGCCTATGTCTGGGCTCATTTCCTTGGGGTGGGGAGATGTCTTTCTTCCGCCTACCCCTTCTCTGATCTCTCCTCAGTCTTCCAGTCTGCACCCTGGACAGCATGCTGTGGTCTCACCAGGGGACTGCTCCAAATGCATAGGAGTCCTGGCAAGGGACTGAGTGCCCAATGACCCTCCTGCTCTTACAGAAAGGTAACCAATACACCCAGAGGTCTCTCAGAAAGTTAGCCACTGAGCCAGAACTCGGGTGCAGGATTTCTCACCACTGGTCCAGGTTCCCCCCACCCCACTCCACTTTCCCAGATAAGATTTCGTGTTCTGAATGGTGCCTGACTCTCCTGTATCCCTCACCGACATTCCCCCATTCCCAGATATCTCAGGATACCTAGAAAGAGAAGAAAGTCGTGTTGCAGACATACTAAGTTATAATAATTGGGGGGGGTTGGAATCTCACTCTGTTGCCCAGGCTCGAGTGCAGTGGCACGCTCACGGCCACCCCAGCGTCGTCCTACTGGGCTCCGGCAACCTTTCCGCTGCAACCTTCCAAGTAGCTGGAACTACAGGCATGCGCTATCATAACCGGCTAATTTGTTATTTGTTTATTGTAGAGCCAAGGTCTCACCAAGTGGCCCAAGCTGATCTCAAACCCACAGACTCAGGCAATCCACTCTCCTCGGCCTCCCAAAGTGCTGGGATTATAGGCTGAGCCACCAAGCCCAGCCAGTTATAATTTTTAAAGCCTTCATCTGGAGTGTAAAAGGCCCGTGTTGTAGCCCTGGCTGGCTTGTGCCCTCACACTAACATCAGAGATAGATGTGCCTGCTCAGTTGTTCTGTGGAGCCTGCCCATGCCACTTGCTGTCTCCATCTCAGAGCATAGAGGTAGTACCAGCCCTGCCCCGATGTCCCACTTCCCAAATCCATCCCTACTAGGAATGAGTGTGGGGGATGGGCAGCCGAGGGTTATGGGAAGTGCCTCACCTTCTCCTGAATGCTGGTGTTGAGCCTTCTCAACGTCTCCTGGAAGTTCTGGTTCCGTGGCTCAAGGGTGGCACAGCGCTGCACGTCCTTGAAGGCCTGGTCCAGCTTCCCCAGGTGCTCCAGTGCCTGGCATCGCCGATACAGAGCCTTGATGTCCGAGGAGTTGATGTCGATGGCTGTCGAGGGGAGACAGGCAGGACCTCAGGAGGTTAGGCTGCAGACCACCCCCCGCCCACTGCCCCAACCCCAGGAACCATGCTCTAGCCGGGTCTCTGTGTCTTACTTGGACATTATCCATCCGTGTGGACTATCTAGCTCATACCTCCCCTTTGCTGGGGAGATAGTAGATCCACAGAGTCTCAAGGTTGGAAGAGGGTGTAAGGGTCATCCCACCCCATTCCCAATGCTCCAGTCTCTGCTATAGGATCCCTGGCCAAGGGCTCATCCAATTGGCACTTGCATACCTCCAGCAGTGGGGAGCTCCCTCCTTCTCACACCCAGGCAGCTCCAACAGAAGACCCTTTCCTCTTTCTACCTGAAATATATTCCCTGTAACATTGCCCTTTTATCTTAAGTCCAGCCCTGGAACCCCTGAGATGAAATCCAATCCTTCTTCCTTGCAACAGTCTTTTAGGCACTGAAAGGCAGCTCTCCGTCCCACCTGGGAGTTGTCTTCACTGGGCTAAATATTGCAGCTTTCCTCACTTGCTCTTCACAGGGTGTTTCCAATCCCTTCTCCGGCTGATTCCCTCCCTTATGAACTCATTTCAAACTATCACTGTCTCTTCCCTCAAAATGACAACCAGATCAAACCCCAACAGAGAGAATGCAGAGGAGGGCATGAGAGGGCAAGCTTGGGGTGGGGGTGGCTTACCTCTGGAGGCATCTGAAGCGGCTTGGGCATAGCTCTCCTGTGGAAGGGGAAAGGGGAAGGGAAAGGAGACTCCGTTAATGCAGACTCAGTGCAGAGACAGCAAGTAGGTATCCCCGGAGTGAAGGGAGAGGGTTTTTAGGGGGAGCTGCAGGCTGTCAGGGGCCCAGGAGTGCCTCTCAGTGGGCATGGAAAAGTGGACAGGCTTTGGCATCAGATAAATCCAGGTTCGAATCCCGTCTCTGCTATGACTTGGAAGAGCTTGGGCAAGTTAATTAAGCCCTCTGAGCCTTGAGTTTCTTACCTGCAATATGGGACGACAACACTACCTTGTGAGTGGTTACTAAGATGCTATCAAATAACACATGAAAGGCACCCTACATTAGGTCAATTCTGAGCTAGATGAATTTATGTCTCTCCAGAGCAGAGGGTCAGGCAGTTGGAGGCACCATCTCCAACCTGAGGGGTCCAGGTGAGACTCTGGGATGACAGCCAGTTTCTATCAGGACGAGGGAGCTGCCTCCCCACCCCTGCCACCCAGTCCTGAGGTCCCTCCTCCTCGCTCCAGCCTAACTCTGCCCCAGACCGTCTTCAGGCCACAGGCTGCCCGGTTCCGATAGAGAATGGCCTGCAGGTCCTTATCCTTGGTCAGCTTCAGGGCCTGGCTGTAGCTCTTTGTGGCGGCCTTGTAGTCCTGGAGCTGGAAGTGCCGGTTCCCCTCCTCCTTCAGCTGCGCTGCTTCCGCCTCTGCCATCTGTGGGGACAGGGGCAGCTCTGTCTGGCCAGCCCCTCACTCCATTCTCAGCACTGGGCTTCTGGCCTGAGGTTCAGAGCTCCAGGCTCCCCACTCACCAGGGTAGAAAGTGGAGATTATGCCTGGAAGGGACCCACTCCCTGGCACCCCCAAATCCATTGCCTCAAAAGGACATTACAGCATCTGCTGAGAGCTTGGCCCCAGTTGAGGGGGTGGTCTCAGAGTCCCTGTGCCTTACCCTCTGTTCCTCCCAGCCACCCTCTGTCCTTCCCAGCCTGAGCAGGTGAAGCCATCCCACACCAAAGGCCTGAACTCTCACTGTTCTCAGTCTGCCTTCTCCCTCCTCAACCTGGGACACTAGGGCCCGGCTCACTTTCTCAGCAGGGACAATGCGTTGGATCTGTCCTCCTGCTCCTCTGAGCTCTCCTGTGTCAGCCTCCAGTCAGCCAGCCTTGGTCTGTCTCTTCCAGCCCCCACCCGAGAGACTTTATCACCCCTGCCAGTGGCTCCAGACCATATTTGGCCACGGGGCAGGTGTCCCTGGAGCCTGTCACTGATCCTCAGGGCCCTCCCACTCCTCAGAGTGGATGGTCATGACCACGTGGAAATGCTGACCAGTGTCTGCCTGACAACCCCACTCAGGGGCAGTCTTGGGGGCTCAGGCACTCACACCCGAGGAATGAGGGAAAGATCCAGAAGGGACAGGAACCCCCACCTCAACAGACTCCCCTCCCTAGGGACAGCTATGATGCCCCCTCTCCACCTCTCTTCCAGATAAACAACCTCCTCTCCCTCCCCAACCTTTGCTATTTTGGGAGCAGAGTGACAGCTGAGGGGCTGACAGACTTGGACACACAGACCAATTGCCCAGATGTCCGACCAACTGGAGACTTCCATAAATACCTTTCTGGAGGAAGGGGGGAGGGAAGAGAAGAGGAAAGATACTTTTCCTTCTACTTGTTCATAACACCTCAACCCATCCCGTGTTCATTTGTTGAAAATGCTCTTGCTTTTCAGAAAGATCGGCAGGACTTAACTCACTTTAGTGTTAGCAGTTTGTTGGTTCCAGTCCACACATCGTCATCTGCTCCTCCCCCTGTATACCGAGGGAGTATATTCAGCCTACCTCTCCCAACAGATGGGGAACTACCTGAGTGTGGACTCTGTATACCCGTCATCAGACTGGAATCTCTTAGGGCAAAGGCTGGGTTAGATTGTGAATTCCCTGAAACTGGGGACTGTACCCATGCCCGTCCGATGGGGCACTCTCCTTGGACAAGAGACTCCTTCTCCTTCCCCTCTGAAGGGGGTCTTCCTGGGACAAGAAGTACACATTCAGCCTCATAGAGGAGTCTCTCCTGGGGTGGAAATTGTTTCTCCTCATCTGACTGAAAGTTCCCAAGGCAAATTTGAGTTTGTCCCCCCTTGGACTCAGAACTCTCCTGACTTCCAGTGCCTCTAAGCTTGGGCTGTGAGCTCCCTCCCAGAAGGCAAGAAAAACAACCCTGAATTGCCTGAGCCCACGGGTTCGAGACCTGCCTGGGCAACTTGGTGAGCCCTCATCTCTACAATAAATAAAAAAATTAGCCGGGCGCCACGCCTGTAGTTCCAGTTGCTTGGAAGGCTGAGGTGGAAGGATCGCTGGAGCCCAGCGGGTCAAGGCTGCGGTGGCCGGGAGCGGCCACTGCACTCCAGTCTGGGCGACAGAGTGAGACTCCAACTCAAAAAAAAAAAAAAGAACAGCATCCCATACAGCTGAGCGCCTGTGTCCACCCCCTTCCCATACAGAGCCTGGCAGAGACGGTGCCCAATGTGTGTTTCCTGGATGGAGTGAATGAGTGAATGTCTTCATACTGACAATTCACTCCACTCACCTCCAGTCTCTCTCCCCACACCCACTTCCACCCCCCACGTCTTCTAACTTACCTGAGAAAGACACTAAAGAAAAAGCACATGTGGAATCATCCTCACTAGATGCTACTCCTAGTTTTGTGACCTTGGACACACAGCTATGTGACCTTGGACATGTTCTACTACCCTGCTGGATACAAGGCCCAGTCCTACCACATATTTGTTGAATGAGCAAATAAATGAATGAACAGATGAATAAATTCCCTGCCCTCATGGTACCCCAAGCCCTAGGCCACTTTGTGGGGCAAGCTCTTTGTAGCAATGAGTTAATATGATAAAGGATCTTGCCATTGGCAGAGAACTATGGTCCCTTTAGGTCCAAGGGATCTTAGATTCAAATCCTGATTCAGTAATTCATTCCACAACCATTTCTGAAACATCTATATCCACCTGCATGGGCCTCACACCTGTAATCCCAGCACTTTGGGAGACTACTAAAGTAGAAGGATTGTTTGAGTCCAGGAGTTCAAGACCAGCCTGGGCAACACAGTGAGACTTTATCTCTACAAAAAAATTTTTAAAGTCAGCCAGACATGGTGGCTACCATACACCTACAGACATGGTAGCATACACCTACAGCTACTCAGAAGGTTGAGGTGGAAGGATCACCTAAGCCCAGAAAGTCGAGGCTGTGGTGAGCTGTGACTGTGCCACCGCATTCCAGCCTGGGCAAAAGAGTGAGACTTTGATTAAAAAACAAAACAAGACAGCAACAGCAAAAATCTATTAAGTGCCAGGAACTGTGAACGATTATGGAAACACAGAACATTCACGAGGGCAAGAATCTGTGTCTACTTTGTTCACTTACATAGTGTTTGTAATAGCATTTGGTTCAGAGAAGATACTTGGTAATATTTGTTGGATGAATGGATTAAGTGATTCCATGGATCTGTGATAGCTAAATGTGAGGAGCACCAGGATGTTCTGAAAACATATGACATCATTTCAGAGATGATTTCCTTGAAAAGGTGCTAAATGAGCTAATACAGGTAGAGTCCACAGAACAATGTCTGCAGAGAGTAGGTGCTCAACACACTTATTGGTTTAATGAATGAATGAGTAGAAAAAGGCCTGAAGAATGAGAGACCATTCCTGTATTAGTTTGTTCAGGCTGCCATAACAAAATACTAAAGCCTGGGAGACTAAAACAACAAAAACTTATTTTCTCACCGCTGTGAATTTGAGAAATCCAAGATCAAGATGCTGTCAGTGTTGATTTCTGGTGAGAGTTGTCTTCCTGGATGCAGACAGCCACATTCTCACCGTGCCCTTACACGGCCTCATCTCTGTGTGTGCTCTGGCAGCAGTGGGGATAGGGGAGACGGGAGAGGGAGAGAGAGCTCTGTAGTCTCATCCACTGTTTATAAGGGCACCAGTTTTATCTGATTATGGCCCTACCTAGCCTTATGACTTCACTTATTAACCTTTTTTACCTCCTTATAGGGCCTGTCTCCAGATATAGTGATATTAGGGGTTAGGGCTTTGACAAATGAATCTGGGGAATGGGGGTACAATTCATTCCATGACAGTTCCAGACACAGAAATCTGCATGTGCAAAAGCATTGATGCAGGAAGGACCATGGCTTGAAAGAACTCACAAAAAGCCAAAAGGATTTGACCTAAAAGAGAGAGGGGTGGCTGGAGAGAGCAAGGCTGAGTGGACCATTATAAAGAGTTTGGTGTTTTCCCGTATGCAAGGGAGCCATTGCAGGGTTTTAAGGTGAAGAGTAACAGACCAGAGTTTTGGTTTGAAAAGATTACCCTGGCTGCATAGTGGAGAAGGGATGGGAGGGGCAGAAACAGAAACAGGGAGGTTAGTCAAGAAGGTATTGAAGTGGTCCAGGCAGGAAACGACAGCGACTCTGAAGAGAGCGTGGCTAGTGAAGATGGAGAGTGCAGATTCAAGCTGTGTTCATTAGGCGGACTTAGTGCTTGGTACTGCGTGGGTGAAAGGGGGCAAGGGAGAGGAGGGCTGCCAAGGAGGATCCCAGGTTTCCAGCAAGAAAACTCATGTGCAAACCAGGCGGGGTGGCTCAGCCTGTAATCCTGTGCCTTGGGAGGCTGAGGTAAGTGAATTTCCTGAGCCCACAGGTTCGTGACCCGCCTTGGGCAACTTGGTGAGACCTCATCTCTACAACAAATCAAAAAATTAGCCGGGTGTGATAGTACGCGCCTGTAGTTCCAGCTACTTGGAAGGCTGAGGTGGAAGGATCGCCGGGGCCCAGCAGGTTGAGGCTGCAGTGGCCAGGAGCGGCCACTGCACTCCAGTCTGGGTGACAGAGTGAGACTCCAACTCAAAAAAAAAAATTAGTTTTGTATGGAAAGCACCTAGAACAATGCCTGACACATTACTGTTATTATCATAATCATTATTATTGCTTTACAGTGTTGATGCCAATAGAAATTGCTTGCGCTTGTACTCAAGTATTATCGGCTTGATCCATTTTATTTTATTTTATTTTATTATTTTTTTTATTTTTGAGTTGAAATCTCACTCTGTCGCCCAGACTGGAGTGCAGTGGCACGCTCCCGGCCACCACAGTCTCAACCTGCTGGGCTCAGGCGATCCTTCTGCCTCAGTCTTCCAAGTAGCCAGAACTACAGGCACGCGCTACCACAGCCGGCTAATTTTTTATTCATTGTAGAGACGAGGTCTCCCCAAGTTGCCTGGGCAGGTCTCCCCAAGTTGCCTGGGCAGGTCTCGAACCCGCGGGCTCAGGCAATCCACTTGCCTTGGCCTCCCAAAGTGCTGGAATTACAGGCTGAGTCACCAAGCCCGGCTGGCTTGATCCATTTAAAAAAGGAATAAAATTTCTGCCCTCAACCCAATAGTTGTTTCTGGCTTTGTAAGTCACCCTCTCCCCTCCTAGGGGGCTGCTACCTGGAGCCCGGCCTAGTGAGTCCTCTGCCATTTACTATTTTGATCTTGGGGATAATCAATTAACCTCAGTTTCCTCATCTATAAAATGGGGCAAGAATTCCCTTTGTGAAGAGTCAGAGGTTGACCTATCCTGTATGGAAGGCATTGGGAGGCACTGAGTGGGGAGACATTGACCCCTCCAAGGGGCGGCTGTTGAGTGGAGAGAGGA